GCTGTCGGAGGTGGCGGGCCCGGGCTGCGCTGCCGGGGCTCTCTGCGCCCGGGGGTCCGGGTTGTGCCTCTTCCCGGGCCCTTCTGCGGGGCGGGGCGGCGTCACCCCGGGGCGCCCTTCGGCAGCTGGCGTTCCCTCGTAGCTCCGTGGTCCGGTACGTAGCCGGTGTGCTGCGCGGAGCCCCCGCTAGTGAAGTCTTCCGCTTTCCCTAGGCTCGAAATCGGCGAAGCTGACTTCGTTGTCCTCTGTGATGCCCTGAAAGTGTCGGAGAGCGTGAGGGAGAAAGCGTGGAAGACGTATGAGAGCTTATCGGCCGTGGATGGAGCTCTAGTGAGTACCCGCTGCTTGTACCTCAAACCTCTGTTGTGGTGTCTGCCCTGTGCCCGGGTTGAAATATTGAACTGTAACTTTGCTGGCCTGGGGGCCAAGTGTCTTGCGGCCCAGGCTTGTGTGGTATGACTTTGTTTTTTTCCAAGTGCAGTTGGACTGAAGTTGGATGTTGCCATGTGCGTGTCTGTATAAACTGGTTTCTATATATCTCCCTTTTTTTGTTACTGTTTTCCAATAAAGGTATGGACTCAAAAATTCTTTTAGATTACTAATAAATGACAGTAGAAAACAACACCATGTGATCAGCTAATTCTTCAAACCGCAAGTTATTTCAAATATGTCCGAGTCAGCTTTATACACAGAAACACACGATGAGATGACCTCTATCTCTTCCCGCTCCATCCTTCTTTATGAGGCTGCAGAAAGGGTCTGGAGAAGACTGTTGCAGAGAAAGGGATGTTTGTATGTTAAACTCTTTTTCTACTGCCTAATGTTAATCTGTATGTACTTATCGTTGAGGTATTTCCGTTCAAAGTTAGTCATTGGGCATGTGTAAACAGATTAAAATGTTATGCCCTTTCCTGATTATTTTTTTTCCCCTTCTTCTCAGTGTATTACTGCTGTCTCAACAAGCTGACTCAGAGAACAGCTACAATACAATTAAATCATGATTGAAGCTTTGTTATACAGACCTGAATTAGATGCAAAATACTTAGCTCTGGGGTATTATTCCCACTGTGTGGGCTAGCATCCATGTATTTGTTGTGACTTCTGCTTTTTCTTCTGTGACTTGAGCTGACCTGCCACAGCTGTGCTGTCACTAGTAATACCTTGTTGTCTGTGGTTTTTAAACCACAGGATGGGTATACTAGCTCTTGATGCATTTGAGTTTCACAACACAATACAGTAACAGCATGGGAGGGAGACTGTGTACAGGTCTTTTAGTAACAGATACAATTTCTGGCCCTGGATGTTCCCAGGGAATATTTACTTAAAACCATAGTTGAGCTCCTTTATATGAACTTAAACAGGAGTGGTCAGGTCTACTGAGTGACAAAAACAAGGCAGGTTTGAGTATAATTCTGCAAATTTCACCTACAGGTGAAATTTTCTTTTCACTGATCATTACCTAGCAGTGGCCAGATAAGACACAGGGCATTTGCAACCCTTCTTTTCAGCAGCTGAAGATGACCTCCTTTACCTATTCAGAAGAGGGCAATGACTAGATCTTCATTATGACATACAGCTAATATTTATTGCCTTGCAATTAAGGCCTATGCTAAGAGCCTTTCAATGTATAGGAAAAAGTCTACATTACATTGTGGTTCAGTCCAAGGCCTCTTCCTCAAACTTTCTGATGTATCAGCAAGGTGTTGAAGTGAGGAAGCTGGCAAGCGTGTGCCTCCACGGGGACCTGGCAGGCACTGGAGTTGCTTCTTCTAGCTGAGACCAGTGCAGGCTTCATTTGAGTGTGAAGTCAAGCAAATTAACAGCCTGGCTGATTGCTGCTTCTCTTTCTGAGTCAAGCTGTTATCATGGGGAGCAGGGCTTCTCAGGCTGACTGGTTCAGGTTGCAGGGATTCAGGAGGAGGCTGTATTTAAATGCCCACTCCTTTCTCCCCTGTGGTAAAGGTAATGTGTTAGAGGGGCTGTCCAAGGTTTGTCCTGCAAGCACCAGCTGCCTATGTTTTGAGCAATGTGGTTCAGCGCTAACCTGTTCAATTCTCAACTGAACAGAAAGTGCTTATGTAGCGGCTTTCTGTTCTCGAGCAAAAAGGAAATAGCAGGACACCAGTTGAGGCAAATACCTACTAGAACACTTCTGTTTAACCCTGTAGTTGGTTTGACTTGAGGAAGGTTGAATCATCAGACCATTGATGGAAACAGAGGTAGCATCCAATGATCTCACTCTCAAGCCATTTACAGAGCATAAAGACCTGAAACCTTACTTTCCCTGGCACGCTGGCCTTGTTCTTTGTGGTTGATCTCAGAATTGTGCCTGCCAGACCTCTGAGGATGTGGAAGGGACTTGTAGTGCTAGCTAGGAAGCGGCGTGGTCCAGACGTAAGGTGCTGTGGTAACTGGCAGAGATTCAAGGTGCAAATGTGGGCTTGGACCTAGTCTGAACACCCGCTGTATCCTTGCTCGATGAATATTTAGTGACTTAAAGTGAAAACATCTATTAGTACTGTCCTTTTTGGGTCACTTAGGGTATGTGTAATCATGTGCAAAGAGACTCTGCAAACAAGGTATATGCAGCTTAAAAGTATAAAGCAATTATTCTTGGCACATGCACACAAAAGATTACGAGGATGTAGTGACCTATCAGCCTAAGTGTGCCTGCACTTCAGTGAGACACCTAAAGAGTCTTTGCTGGCCAGGCAGGCATCAGTCAGGAGGAGAAAGGTTGGTATCTGCTGCTCCCTGGAATGAATCCTCTGTGCTGTTACCCGCTGAAGCCACTGGCACCACCAAAACTGTCTGATTCGCTGCTTTTTTCCTTCAGAATGTCACACCTTTCCACACTGATATTTTTTGTTTTGAATCTTTGAGCTACTAATGATCCTACTTCTCTCTGAAATTTCACCTTTCTTCTCTGGCATAGCTCTGCACTGCAGCTTTTCTTACAGTGCTCTCAACTTATCTGTTTCCGCGGCAATTTGAGTAAAGGATATACAGCTGCACCCTATCACAGCTGGGCCTTGAATCCTTGAAACAGCTGAATCCTTGTCAGAGGTGTGGAGGAGGAAGGTGACAGGAGAGAGATGGTTACATGATCTTTCTGGAAAATTGAGGCTGACTTGTAGTTGGAAAAACTAGACCTGCAGAGAGAGATTGTTCAAACCACTACAGCTCTCTGTTAAATGTGGTGGTAAAGTTTTCCTCTATGACAGCCAGAGTTTAATTACACTCTTCTACAATAAAAGCATAACTTGAAATCTCTGAGACAAAACCCCAAATGCTGGTTCCAGAAATGTCATACTGAATCAGCCCTGTTGGTGTACGGTGTGAAGGAAGGTACCTGATGCATGACCAGAAAGATGTTTTATTTTAAAATTCTTTTTATATCTGGTGAACTCCCGTACAAGTTTATTGTAAACATGGAAGTGTATATATAAATAAGAGCTTTTGCATTAGTGTCATACAGAGACTTTTGTTCTTTCTATCATTTCTCTCAGTTACCAAACCAAGCTGCCTAGGTAAACAAAATGTTTGGTTTAGAGTTACAGTTTTTACTGTCTTAATTTCAAAACTTACAGACTGGCAGGTGTTGGTTTAAAAATTGGCTCTGATGCTTGCCTCTCTTGTACTCTTAATTTTTTTGTAACTGTCCTGAAATCTGTATTATGAATCAATAGTACCTGTAAACTCTAGATGGAGTAAATAGATTTAGTGGACTTACTAATGTACTTTGGTGAGCAGCATGTGATTGTTGGTGTAAGAAAGACTAGGAGAGGTCCAGGAAGGCATATTAATCCTGCTAGGAAAAAGTTCAGGGCATTTGTTATGTTCTGCTACTGTTTGTTTTGGTAAAGAACAACAAAATGAGAATCTGAAGTAGAATATTGGGTGATGTAAGCAGGAAAAAGAAACTTGAGTGAATTGTTGCTTAGTATATTGGAAAGAACCAACGTGAAGAACAGATGACATGATGACTAAATTGGAACCAAACTTCTGCAAAGAAAATTGAAGTGGTTTAGGAAATTGATAGAAATTGGAGTCTGCCAAGAACCTTGAGGCATAGGGTCTGGTGTGCTTCAACCTCATTAGCCCAACTTGCTGTAGTATGTGGTGCGTGGGTGACAGCTTTATTTTTTGTTTGCTCTTCATAGCACTGTCTGGGAAATGTGGCCCACTGTTCTCCTGCTGCTGCTCAGCGGTTCAGACTCATGAATTCCTGAGTCATTTTTATCAAGTGTCTGTCTAGCCCACTATTAAAAAATTCTGATGATGAAAGATCTGCAGTCTGCATAGTTAGTCCTTCCTAGTTTAACTTTCTTTGCCCATGCTTTTTTCCCCCCCAAGTACTACACTAATCTGTTTCTGTGTTATAATTCAAGCCAGTGGTGATTATTCTGTACCCCATGGACGTGAGAATGTATTATTGCTGCCTTATTTTTTTTCCCCCAGAAAGTCTCTAGCATCTGAAGATGTTTCTGTCATCTTTCCTTGTTTCTAATTGCTCATCTTACCTTCCGAAATTATCTCCAACTGGTGACTTACACTGGTATGCAGATACTGCAGAGCACTTGATTCGCACAAGAGTTGAACTATGTTCTTAGTGAAGAAAACTTAAAAGATGAACTGTAGCTTAAGTGGAGGAATGAAATAATGAGTTCTTAAATGTAGCAAGGTTGCTCTATATAGACCAAAAAGTTAGCGGTCAGCAGGTCGAATGTTCCCAATCCATAAAATTTCACATTTAAATTAAATCAGTTCCTTTGGTTGTAGTTTCTTATGAAAAAGAAAACATTGTAGTTGGTAAACCACCTCATCCTCATGCTAAAAGGCACGCAGAGGCTTCTTGCTTTTGGCAAAAGCATGAAACACATATGAGCTAATGAAGTCTTTTCTGTCTAGAGCTTTGTCTCTTATTTATAGAACTGCAGCTAAACTGAACCTGAATCCACTGAAGCTTTGAGTGGATGAGCAAAATTACAGATGTTTTAGGATCCTCTGTTATTAAACAAAAAAACAAAGAGCTACTGAAAGTCCCGAAGCAAACATAAATTACCACCTTGGCCTCTTGCTGGTGATAATTCAGTGCCTTAGTAGCAGATGCATTGCATGTATGTGTTGTGCCCTTGCACTTTAAAAGCATAGCTAACTGGCATACAGTTTCTTTTTTTTACTCATCATCTGCCCATCCTGGGGAAAGACCGATGACCCTTCCAGTCTTGCTACATGCAAGAAAAATGTAATGGGAAGTTTTCATACCAGAAGAACTATTTTCATCAGTTCAGTACTTTCCATTGACTTCCATTACTTTTAGCTAGTATTATGTTTGAGTTTGATTTAATCTGTTGAGAACTAATAGTAATCTTCCATTCCAGACAATGTTCAATAGAAAATTTAAAATCGTTATTGCTGAAAAATGGGGGATCTAACTGTCTTTACACAGAACTTCTATGCAGACAGTGGGTACAGTATTCCCTTTCAGAATTTTTTTTTCTAGGAAATTTTTCCTACAAGTCTTAATTCTGATCAGTTTTCTATTGTGAATGCTTCTTGATTCTTTTTCCCTGCCACCTTCCCCACCTGTAATCTTAAACATATCTGTGAATGTTTCTTGTACCATCTAGCTAGTTCTCTATATTGATTAGGACGTGGTGGCTGGGGTTTTGGTAAGCCAACAAGTTCCACATCTTCCCCTTCAAAAATTAGGTTTTTGGTATTTGCAGTGTGACATCCTATATGCCATTTGATTCAAATACCCATCTGCGTTTGCATATTTCTCATGTACATTTCTCTTGACCTTCTTTTACACAACATCATTTGAAGTTTCTATTCCTGGATCACTTTTGTAGGCTGTCATCAAAACTGTTACCAGCGTTGGCAGAATAATAAACATCTCTAACTCCAAACTAGAACTGAGACTTCCTGTGACCATCTCCTCCTTGTGACTGGTTTAGCACTGGAGAACCTCTTGAGGTAGAGAACAGAAGTTATTTCTGTTAGTGCCTTTAACACCTTGCAACACTATCTGGAAAGAAGAGAGGCGAGAATCCCATTTCACAATAGTTCAGTTTGATGAGCATTTTAAGCCTATGACTCCTCCAGGTTGTTTTCACTAGATTTAGGCAAGCTGTTGATTTGCTAAAAATAGATTAAATAGTAGCAATAGTTAAGTCCAGAATGAGAAATAAGTATTTTGAAAGAGTTTGTAAGAGTTTTAGATCTTTTCCTACAGAAAACTATATTGATTCAACAGAACTGACCTACCTTGCCCAAAGTCATAGCATTGGTTCCCCAGAATCCTAAATAAAAAAAAACTATGTAGACTACTAGATGCTAAATAATCTTTGAGTTAGTGATTGGTAGGCTTTGATTCAGGATGAGTTGAAATAAGGTCACTGGAAGTCATTGGAACTGACAGCCAAGGACAAATGTTGAGCCGTTGTCCTGCCTGTTTTCTGTAGTGGTACTGTATCAACGAAGATCTTGAGTCAGACTGTGGTCAAGAAGAAAACCCTCAGAAATGAATTTCTGGCTGTGAATTTGTCTTGCGTCCATTCCCATGCCCTCAAGTCCATCTGGGATGAATTGTCTGGCTTTGGCTGTAAACAAACTGTTAATTTGTGTCATAGGATTGGCTCCCCTGGAGTTACAACACTGGCAAAATAGTCGAACGGAGTGATGCTGCTGCATTTTTGTTCTGCAGTCAGCTTTAACTCATTTGTGTAGGAAAGGACTTGAAAAATGTCTGTGAGCTTTGGGAGGGAAGGGGTATGAAGAGGAGAATACTCAGGAGTCTGACTTGCCAGGAAGACCTCTCCTTATGTCTTCTCCCCTTCTCCTACCTCATGATGTTTATATTTTATGTATTAAAATCACTAAAATCTTCATGCATGGGTATGTGCAGATAGTCTTATTTTCTGAGGAAACTGCAGTTTACCTGCGTCTCTGGGTGTTTTAACCAGCAGCAGCTGGTGGGATAGGACCAGTCTGGTGTTCTTGCATGCTTTCCCCTCCTCCCTCACGCAGCTGATGTTAAGAGGTGGGCACACTCAAGAGCTGCTAACCTTTTCTTTGCTACTAGAACACAATCATAATCTTATTAGTTTATCTTGGGTTCTGTGTAATGTTTTTTGTTAGGCCAGCAGTCATCCAACATCTGTCTGGTTGAGGAGGAGGTGCCCAAAGTATCCTGTAACACCAGGAGCAGATAAGGGGGTAGTCCTGATACTAGAGTTTGACTCACCATAATGGTTTGAATCTAGTGGATTGACAGGCTGCCTCTGAGACTGCCGTCTTGTTTAATGGTAGAAATAAATGAGTTATTAGCCCAAACCATACTGGATAAGGAGTTTAAAGATTGTTCTTGCAAAACCAGACCTCACTCTTACCAAACAAACCATTGCCATAGCCATCAAGCATTCATCCTCCCAGGGTAGAGCTAAGCTGCCTAGGAGAGCTAGGCTTGTTTGGATAGGCAGCAAACTAGGAACAATTTCACCACCTCCTAGCATTCAGTCCTCCTGCCCTACGAGATGTTACATTTACAGAACAGTGTCATGGTCTGAGTTTGCAGGAGCATGAAGTGAGGGGAACTTCTTTATTAAACAAGGTCAACTGACCCCAGTGGCAGTGGTGTCCTCGGTAAGTGAGTAGTTATCCTTCTTCTTGGTAGGTCACTAGCTAGCCTTAACCTTCAAGATTTTTTACAATGCCTCACAGACATATTAATGCAGGAAAATAGACATTCCCATCCTACAGGACATTTTTTGTTCTTATGTGCCTGGTAGCTTGTTGTACATGTCAGCAAAGGATTGCCGAGACTGGCTGAGGCGGTGGGAGCGCGTCTCTTAGCAAAGCCTTTCTTCTGTGCAAAACCCCTCGAGAGCAATTTTTTTGCCTCATCTTTAGGTTGCTGGTGGTATACGATGGTACATAAAATATCTAAAAAGTGAGGGTTTCCAATAAACAAAGAGACAGTGACTGTTTGATATTAATATCCATTCCTTTATGTATCATCAAATGCATCTCAGTCTGTTAATAGCTTCTTTCAAAATAATTTTCTGTTGTACAAGGTGTCACGATTCATAGAAGTGCTCAAATAGGAATGCAGGAAGAAAGTAGTAACTTAAATAATGGACAGTTACCACGTTGTTGAAGGTGGCTGGTTACTTTAGCATTCAAGCCGGTACTATAACTGTTATCAATTGTACAAACCAATGAAACTTCTCCTTCTTTGGAGGAGGCCCCAGCCAGTCTTCATGGATGTATAAAGACTGGTCCCAAGAAAGAAGCAGAGCAATTGCAAAAAAAATGTATATCATTATTGGCAGCGTTAGTGAAACTGTTGTTGTATCATTTATGGGCATGGCAAGCTATTTGTCATGGTTACACTGCTGAGTAAGCGAGGACATGAGTGGGTGCTGAGGATGCAGAGCCTTTTTCGGGGTAGTTTTGGAAGACCCCATAAGATGGAGGGAGCCAGGTCTGGTGCAGTCTTATTCCTCTTGCCTTTTGGGAGTATTTTCTAGAGTGAACTGGCCCCTGTGTCTTGCATTGGTGTTGTCTGGGAGGCAGCTAGGTGGAGTGATCGGGGAAAGGATAAGAAAGTAGGCCAGGGAGTGGGCTAAAACTAAGCAGCGTAGAAGAGCAGGAGTTCAGTATTTCAGCTCACTAGCTCCCAGGGGTCTGTTTCACCTGCGTCCTCTAACAGATGTCACATCCGACCTAGAGCTGCTGAGAGACACGCTCAAACTCTGCTCCTTTGCTGAAGTGGCTGTGGGCCTGGGTGGCGTTGGAGATTTATTTGTAAGGATGCCAAATGTCCAAAGAGTATTTTACGAGTTTGCTGTTTTAGGAGTCTTGCAGGGCTGCACCCATGCCTAGTTCTGTCTTCAAAATAGCTTTTTTCCCAAAACCTGTGGTATACCTGCTTAGGTTTTTCCCTCCATGCTTCTACAAAACATCCCTCTTTAGAGGTTTTCCACTGAGATGCTGTTTTGGTGGAAGGGTACTGGAATCGTAATGGATGCCCGGCTGATGCTCCAAGTGACTGGCTTGTGAACCATCAGGAGTGAACTCCATGTGGATGGCACGTCTGTCATTCTGGGATGGCTTTTCTTTGGTGAAGGATGATCGGCTTGTACCTTACTTCTAAGCAGCAGAAGACAGACCTGAAGTGTAGATGTGTGGTAGGAAAATGCCTGAAGGTGCTCGTTACGATCATGCTTTACTAAACAAAGAGGTGGGTTTGTGGTTCAGCTGTGATAAGTGGTTGAGACCTAGCTGGAGAATAAAGTTCGTGAGTATTTATTGCCTGTCCTTTTAATGATTTTATATTTCTTTCTTATGGCTTCTCTCCCAATTCCTTAACCTTCAGTGTCTTGTTGTGGTTAAATATAGTAACTTTGAAAAAAATAATTATGGTTTCTGCTTTGCATAAACATTCCATGGAACGAAAGCTGTTTTGAAGCTTTGCTGAATTGTATGGGTAAAATTGATCTTGTATTCTAGGAATAACAGTTGAAGTGCCTGGTCTTTCATCTGTAATGTAAAACTTGTAGTGGTTCTCAGTTACCAAATAATTGGCTATCATAGTCAAATATTTGCTTGACGGTGTTTTGTTTTACCATTTCTAATCTAGTTTGGACAAATTAATACTTTCCATATATTACCCTCTTTTACTGCATAATAAAACCGATTTTCTCTTTTTCTAAAAGGCTTATAACAAAAAGAAAAAGGAAACATGGGGAGTCTGTATCTTTATTGTAGCAATTGATCTGGATGAAATGACATTCACTTTCACAGAGCTTCTGAAAAGTATAAGCATAAGGTAAGTGAATTTAAGTGTGTGAATTTAGATTTCAACAATTAACTAGTCAACATTTTTATAAAGAGAATGTTTTTAAAGCATTGTGAATCTTTGTGCGTATCAGGCTAGTTGATTTTAAAGTGAAGGTTCCTTATGGGAATTTTGAACATTTTGGTAAACTAGGTGTCAACTATTTTAGTTGAGGGAGCAATGATACGTCTTTGATTCAACTGTGATTGGCTTTGATTGTATCACACAGCTGATTCTTTTTCTTGTTCAACCTAAAGTCTTCATCAATTTAACTTGGTCTAAACTACACTTAAAATATTTTCCGTTCCCTGTATCAAGATTTACTATAAAACCTTTTTTCCAACATTAGGCTTAGGCTAAATCAAGAAGTGGAAAAAAAAGTTACTCTTCAGATAGTTTGCCAGCATGCCGCTCTTTTTCAAACATTTTAATGCCAGTCTAAATTTTGTAGTTTTGTACATGCTTTTTGCTAGGGGATTGTTACTGTTATATTGTATATTCACTAAGTTCATAATACAGAAATTAAGATTATAGGACAATATCTGCTTTTAAGGTAAATTTAAGTGGCAACAGCAATAGGCATACCCTTGTGTTAGATTCATCTAAGGAAAGGATTCCAGTGCCGTCTGCCTAGTAACGGTGCTGTGTGTTGAAAGCATGTGCAGGAGCAGAGCCTTCAGATGCTCTAGGGCAGAACACCGGGCACGTTGTGGTGGTAACCCCAGGCTTGGGGTTAAATATCCTTTTCTTGGAAGTCATCAGTTATAATTGGACTTCTCCATGCCGCTCCTACCTTGCATTGTCTCCCAGAGCAGCGGTCAGGTCCCATGTTTTGACTTAATCTCTTCAGTCTTGACTGAATTGGAACCATGTGGATGAAATCTAATTGCATTTGTGCAGTGATGTTCAGCATGTTCCACCTGAGTACAGACCAACTTGTGCTGCAAACTGAAAGAGACTTTTTTAGCTTGGGGTTTCGAAGAGTAAGCTATTACTCTGCCGATTTTTATTTTAGCAATACTCAGTTGCATGTTAGCCATGGGCTTTTTGTCAGCTATATGGTCAATCTGGCAGAGACTTCTACCATCTTATCCTCTAGAGCCACACAGATATATTGGAAAGATTTTTCATTCCAAGGTAAAAGAATTCCCAAATGAACTTCTGACTGTTTTTATATTCTGTTTTTTAATCTGACAAAGATCAGAAAAATCTCTCAGAATCCAATATTCTGATAAAGGATCAAAATATACTTGATATAGTTGAAATAGTTGAATATACTTGATAGCTTCCTCCTCCTTAATTTTTAGTAATCTGCTCATTTTGGTTATGAACAAAACAACAAAATGCTTTCTTGATGGCCATAATATTACATGGATGAGTAGGGAAAACTTTGGTCCCCTGTGTAATAGTATTTCTAAAGGGTGGGGCTGTCCTTGCCCCCAGTGTCTGTTGAAAGACTTGGAATACCATATAATTCAATGCATTCATCTCAGTTTTCATTCCTAGGTCTCTCTTTAGCATGGATGGAGCCAAGGTTCATGTTCTTAGAGTAGTAAGAACGTTTCTGAAGTAGAACTTTTAGCTAGAACAGAAGAGTTAAGATGTCTGTGTTGGATATTTGTGGTTTTACTGGCAGAGCAAGGAAGAAAGATGTGTCTAGTTAGCAAATTCTGACTTCCAAAGATAATATCTGTGCTAGCCAAGAAAATTCTCTTTCTGTAGTAGAGCCCATATCGCGAGAGGCCTGTGCTACCTAGTTGAACAGTTTTCCTACATCTGGAAAATTTAAAGGTGGTATATGGGGCTCAAGGTAAGCAAGTAGTGTTTTCCAAAGCAAGGTTCTCAGTCACTGCTAGTTGTAATAAGAATATGCTGGAGTCAGGTGAAGTAAGGCAATGAGCTTTGGTGGGGTTTTTAAAGAGTTATTGCAGAATGGTCATTCTCAGATAATCTGGCATCTTTTTTCCTTTTTTTCAGTGTATGCACATTTTTTCAGTTTCTGAAAGAGGTGGATGTTAACATGGATACTGTAAGCACTAAAGTTGATAGCACTGTATCAAGGCTGAAAAAGAAATATGATGTATTACTTGCACTGTACCACAAGTTTGAAAGGTAGTATATATTTTTAATTTCAAAATTATGAATGATTTATGGCTGTCAACATTTAAGTATTTAGATTTTTCAAACTGTGTATTAGAAGAGCCCATTTAAACTCTGTGTGCTAGTATTTACAGAACAGTGAAATGGAACTGTTTACATGCATTAATAAACACATCTTACATTTTACTCCATAACTATTACAATGCTTTGTTAAGCAATCCCCTTGTTGCAGAACAAACAATAGAAGGGCAGCATGACAACTGGTTGCTAGTCCCTTTGTTAAGCTTTTTACAAATATAAGGATTGGTTTACTGCCTAATACTGTTTTTATTTAAGGGGCTTTCCATTTCTACCTGCCCACCCCTCTGCAAATCCTGATCCAAGAGTTTCTTTCTAGGGAGTTCTGGAAAGAAAAAAAGCACAAATAAGATAGTGTCTCTCTCCCAGATCTGGAACTGACGGCTGTTTGTTCCAGCATCTGAGGGTGTTGCAGAGCCTGCTCTGTTAGCTGTTCTCACTTGTAAGCAAGGTAAACCTTCCCAAGTGGTTTAGCTGACCATACAATGAAAATCGAGGGGAATTCTCTTTGCACAGAATAAACTGAATGTGCTTACGGTAGAGTGCTAAGAGCTTTCTGTGTGTAACTTGAAAATCAGGAGATTCTCAAATGGATGCTTTTTTTGAGTTGCTGTTACTCCAAGGTGGTAAGTTGCTGCACTCTATGCTTTAATATGAAGACAGAGACGATAAAAGCTTTAGATCCTTTTACAGGCTAATGTGTGCTAGCATAGATGTGTATTGGCAAGATCTGGTATCCTCTGAGGCAATTTTTAATCAGTCTGTGGAATTCTCTATAGCATATACCAGTAGAAAACTGTTTCATGTTATTAAACATTTTTGTAAGGAAAAATTTCTTTACTGAAAGAGTGGTGAAACATTGGACCAGGCTGCCCAGGGAAGTGGTGGAGTCCCCATCCCTGGAGGTATTTAAAAGACGTGTAGATGAGGCGCTTAGGGACATGGTTTAGTGGGCATGGTGGTGTTGGGTTGACGGTTGGACTCGATGATCTTAGAGGTCTTTTCCAACCTCAATGATTCTATGATTCTATGATTCTATGATTGAAGCATCATTCCACGATCCTCGCATTACTTGATCCCGTTGCTTCAGAGCGCTGTGGTATTTTTCACTTACAGGAGTTCGAGTCACTGTAACTTTTTCCTCCCAAACCACAAAAGGCTCTCAAATATCCCTTAAATGATCCTTGAAAGGGGTTAGCAGGTCACCCCTTGGTAGTTTATAGAATCAAGACACAAATGTGATAAAAGTTTTATTTGTCTTTTCAAAGTCCAATCAATCACGCTTACCATTAGCTTGGATAATGTGTCTATCACAACATTTTTGTAAAGTTTATTGTTGCCTTAAAGCTATAAAGTTCTATGAAAGTTGTAAATAATTTGTTTTTACCCATTACAAGCCTTTTCTGGGCTATAAAAGTGTCATTGCAGATTTACACAGGCATGTTTTGGTCTTTGTCCCTCCTCTAACTCTTCTTCACTTGCTTACTTTTTCAAAACTTGAATTGCAGTAACAGTTTTTTCAAACAGAAGGATTTGAAATTCGCGTTTTTCCCATTTTCTTTTTGAATAAGCTGAACTTACTGAAATGACATGTACCTAGAATAATTAGGAAGAAACATTATACCGCAAGGCTTGCAGTGACACTGCAGAAAGAGTAAAGGTTTTAAAATGCCCTTTTATAGAGTGTTCTGTGCAGCTGTAGTGTATACTTTGCTGTGTTTTAAAAGCCACTGAGTAACAATGTACATACAAATCCTGTCTTTCCGGAAGAAAACAATAACAAATTTTATTATACCAAATTAAAATTGTTCTGCTATGCAAGCTTTGACATAAGCATGCAAGCCAATAGCATTATTTCAGCTCTGGCAGGGCTTTAGTTGGTCTGTTGTTAATCTGTTCTTCAAGAGTTGGCATTTTTTTAAAGTTAGAATAATGTTTTGTGAACTGGCATATTTTTTTACTACATTGAAGTCAAAGATATTACACAGTTTGCTTTTAGAAAAGTGTTTAAATATAATAATTTATTTTCTAGGACTTGTGGCCTTATTTATCTGGAACAACCTAGTAGTGAGTAAGTTTGACTTTCCTAAATTGTGTTTGTCAAGATAAGATGAAAAATGTGTCAGGATTTTATTTTTTAACCCATTAAGATTGACCTAAGTCATACTATGTCATGTGTTTAATTTAGATTTAGTGGGGACTTTGAATTTCAGTGAGAGATGATGAAAGCTGCAGAAGTGATATATATATATTTGATCACTTCCTCCATGAAGGATCGCCACCCAATGGGCGGGTGTCTCGGCATGGTGGAAACGAACATTTGGAGAGTGAGCTTCCTAATCATAGCAACAAATGAATGGATGAAAAGATGCCTTAGCAACTCCCAAATGAGCTTGCTTCATGCTGTGACTGGAGAATAGGGCATTAGTCAAAGGCACAAGAGAGAAAACAGCTCGTAACAGTTAAGTGAATTATCCACATTCACTTTCTTTTCCAAGGGTGATACAGATACTTCCTGATTCTTGAATGGCTTTACAGAGACTTAAGTTCTTCAAATGTGTAGTCATAATTACGTAGGGAATGCAATGAGATCACTAATAAAATTAACTATATGGGAAATGTTGCATGTTGTCTTAAATTGTTCCATAGACTGAAGCGTGTTTTCAGACATTATAGTTTAAATTATTACAGAGCTGTTAATGCGAAGACTTTATTTTTGTGTCTCTACAGGATTTCTGCTGAACTCAGTTCTGTATTAGTCCTAAAAAATTACTGGATTACTTTTTTGCTGGCAAAAGGTGAGTTTTGATTAAAAGACAGTTATTTTAATGAATATTGTTGAAGTGAGTTTATGGGTTTGTTTTACGTGTCCGGTATGAGTCTGGCATCCTTATTACAAATGTCCGTAGTACAGGCCCAGAATGTTTTTGTTGTGTGGCTTTTATAACTACTCAGTAATATTTCTTTCTATACAATTTGGCTATTCTTTTAACTTCTGTTACTGCCTATGTATATAAATATATTTTTTCAAGCTTTATAAGATTTTTTTTTTGTACTTTGAAGGTTGGTATTCTGTATTTGAGTTTATTCTGATGTGCTTTATAATCTGCCAATATTTTAATAATGGATGATTACCTGAAAAGACTGGCAGAATTTTTTAAATAGGCTTATATATTTTATAAATATATATAAATATACAAATAAATAAAATTTAATAATAGTAAGAAATCACTATAAGAGAAGTCCCTGAAGTTATATGTACTACAATTCTTCCTTGAAAAGGCTGAAGTTCCAGTTAAAGCTGAGTAATGAAACAATTACAGTAGTCCATGGAGTCCCGTCTCATTGTACTATTCCTACAAAAAGGAATGAATCATGCATCTTAATTGCTGCTTACTCCAGGTCTGTGTTATCAGCGAAGCGTACACATCTCTGCCATCGAAATTGGTCTTGGATCAGCTGAGCTTCGTGGAGCTTTTTCACTAGGATTCTCTAAGCATAAGCATAAAGCAAAACCCACAGAGTTTTTCTAGCCTGCCTTTTCATTGAGAATAAGGAAAGCTAAAATTTAGCAGCAAGTAGATGAAGTCACAGGAGCGCCTGGGTGATGCTTGCTAATTCTGATAGAAAATAAATACAAAAATTGCACGTGTAAATAGAGCACAAGTAGTTGTCTGTAGCTGTTCTGAATCGCTATTGGCTTTCCAAATGTTTCGTGGTGATGCACGCCATCTTGGAATGGCCCTGTAGATCTTCTCTGGCATATGAATCATAATTTGGGAACAGCTAGAATAATGTAGTTTTTGAATTAGCTCTTCATGCTAATATTTGTGTGACTTTTAAGTCTTTTCATATGAATCTGACAGACTAAGCATACAGTGTGTGAGCATGTTTTGAATTTCTCTTCACTATATACTAGCAACTCCTGCTTTCTGAATACTTAGCAGCTTTGACAAAGCTTGCGTAAGACCACAGAAAAGAAAGTGAGGAAGAATTGCACAGAAATAAGAGGTACACGTAGGTAAAATAGTCTACACAGTTACTCCACTGTAAAATGAAAAAGAAATAAGGAAGGAGCACTGAGAGGTAGGAATTTTATGCACAGTAAATTTATTTATATGTGTGCTATCTCTAAAGCAACAAACCTCTTAAGAACTGTGAGTTTTAAAATCAATAGCCTTTAAAGAACACTGGCATCCTGTATGATGCTTTCTGAATTCTAATTGTAGTTTTTATTAAATGTTCTTCCAAATCTTTATTTTTTCAAAATTACTTTTAAAATTAAGTCAAACATCTCACAAAGGCTTTCTCTACCTTTTTAAACGTTTGCAGGTAAAGTGTTGCAAGTGGAAGATGACTTGGTGATTTCTTTCCAGTTGTTGCTGTGTGTCTTAGATTATTTTATCAAACTGTCACCTCCTGCTATGCTCAAGGAACCATACAGTAAGGATTTTAGTTTTTTGTTCACTAAAGTAGAAAGTAAATTGGTTAAATTTCTATTAAGAGTAATGCTAACATAATTAATACTGAAAAACTTCTTAAGCTTATTGAAATGGATTTTTTGATGTTTTAGTTCAATTTAGATGATAGTGAACTTGAATTAAATTATCTGAATGTGGCAGCATATTTAATATCATTCGGGTTTTTTTCTGTTTGTACCATCCGTTTGCTATGTCCTCTGCCCATACAAGTTGTTCAGGGGCTTGTTAAAACAGCAGTTTTACTTAGCTAAAAGAATTCAAGGTCTGGGTAGATGATGCCTGAGAACTATTATTTAGGTTTGCTTTGAGTTACAAACCAAAGAGATGGTGCTATGACTCTGTTATTTCATTGACACGTAACAGTATGATGACAACAGAAATGTGCAAGATACTGGACTATACAGACATCTAAAAGAAATGTATGATGGATAGAAAACCTAATTGCACTGGTAGCTCAAAATAAAACGGTAGAGGTAAAATGTAGATAGCTTAGCTTTTATTACATCCCCTTTGTTATTAGCAAGTGTCTCTTCTTTATTTTAAGTAAAAATATAATGGGTCTTCACTATAGAAACTTCTGTTCAGCAGTAACTTTTTGTACATTCAATTTTTATACCTAAAACCTGGGAAAACCTCACTAAAAAGAGAAAGTAAGCATTTATGTTAGCTTTCAAAGATAGAATTCTATTTTTGTTGAATATTTTCTTCTGCAAGCTATGGAATTATATACTGAAGTATTTGGAGCCACAGTATGTAGAAAACAATTTTTTGATACTAATTAGTTTATCCTCTGCTGGGTTTGGATGCGACACTAGTACTTACAGCCTAAATCGACTTGCTTTATTTCTTTGTTTCACAACTAAATATCCACTTGGGTTATAACGTCATAGAATAGATGATATATTCACTGCTATATTCTTTAAATTCCGTGTTTTGGAGGATATTTATCTGACCTAGTAATTATTTGTTGCAGGTAAGAACAAATAACCTTGCTTTTATTCTAATGCCAATACAAATAAAGGATGGGAAAGGATGGACTTGTGGCAAGCAAATCCCTGCCCTCCTCCAGTATTATTTTGAATTTAAACTTGTCCTTAATAGTGGGACAGACATATGCTACTGCTTATTTCAGAGGTTATAAAGCAGATCTCTTTCAAAGAACACGGAATTGAACCTACCTGGTTTTGAACTCTCTGTTCACACTGATTTTTTTTTTTTTTTTTAGTGAAACTATGAAGACTAGGAGCTCATTATTAGAAACAGTTTGGTTCTGTGCATTGTATCTTGAAAAGAAACGCTGCCACTTCAGACTAAATTGCAAATATGGGTGTCACTGTCATAAGTGTAAAGCATTAGATCTCTAACTTCAAGCTGTGTGATACGTGAGGATGCTGTGTAAACTGTCAAACAGCGCTTCATTCTTTTAGCAAGTAACACAATGTATTGTTCAAATCCTCGTGACCAAGAGGCTTCACGTTGTGCTAAATGATGTCAAGCTTTATGATCTGACTAAGGCTGAGGGGGATTAAGATGCAACCACCCGAGCAGTGTAGTTTGTCAGATTTTCTCAGAACAGTTATCAAATACAAATGTAGTTACAGATGAGAACAGCATGCTGATCAGAGTGTCAGTTTTAAACCAACAATATTTAATGATATTAACGTACATTATTAATATAATTCACATATTTGAAGCTGACAATATTGATGCCATCTACTTTGCGCTTAACAAAATTAAATATATTTACCTCACTGAATTAAGTTTTTTTGATATCTTCTTCAAGGTGAACTTGTTTGTTCCTACTTGTTTGCCTGGGGGTATTTGGGGAAAGGAGGAATTCCCTGCAGAACCATATTCCAGGTTCCCACCAGCACTCAAGTCCTGCATTACTTTATTAACCTTCAGACATGTAGAGTGAAGTTACTCTTTCAGCTCCTTGTTTTACACTTCTGTAAAAATAGAAAACACAGTTACTCATCTGTGAAAAGATAAGATTTCCTAGCTTTGCAAAACAGATGCTTATTCAAAGCTATGTACAAAAAGTGGTATTACATTCTGTGTTAAATAGCTTTTTAAAAGCAAAATATCCAAATACTGATATAGGCATTTAAAAATTAGTTTTCTTTTTGTATAGGTTTTCTGTAATGAAGGTTTCTTACCCAGCTGAACAGATGAAAAGGGAAATATTTAAGAAGAGGACCTGAAAAATCGTATAAAAATTTAAATCTCTTAGGTTTAAAATTTTAAATCTCTTTTTTCTTAAGACGACTCTAACCTTATGATGGTTCTGACTATCTTTGCAGAGTCTGCTGTGACTGCAGTGACTGTTAATGGTTCAGCTCGAACTCCAAGAAGAGGTCAGAACAGGAGTACACGTACTTCAAAGCAAACTGATACCGATACAAAAGTCATTGAAGTCCTTTGTAAAGAGCATGATTGTAATTTAGATGAGGTAATGCCTGTGTTTTAAAGTCTGTTAGATCTTGCTGCTAAACCCCATCTGGAATATGCATTTATTTCAGTGGTCTTTTTAAATCTCAATACTTGTGCCTGCTTAACTATTCTGTCAAGTTCAATAGTGAAGGCATTCTACCATTCTGTAGTTTCTCTAGTAGGTAGTTAAAAAAAAAACCACAAAAAACCCCAAAACAAAAAACAAGCCCTTTGGTATGGGTGATAACTTTGCCAGGGAAACTGAACTGTGAAGAATGCAGTACGAAGTTATAGGCTGATCACAGCATGTAGCATGTGGATGCAGGGCTGCTCTGATGGGGTTTCACAGCTGCATCCCATGATGGGGAAATGTACACAACAAGCACATTGCTTCTGTGTGGGATCTTAAAGACCCCATTCCCCTTTTCCTTTGCTGATAAATCTATTCCTGTGTAAAAAGAACTGGTTTTTGAATATCCAAGCAGGTGATGGAGGCAGAAATATAAGAGGGCTGGGAAGAGTGCAGTTCTTTCCCAGTTTAGTCATTTAATGTTCCAGCAATGGATTACATACTGCATGCTTGCATATCACTGTTTTGGATATGTAAGCAATTTCATTTTTGCTTTATTGAAAACAAAGCACAGTGCATTACAAAAGTGCCTCAGTTTCTTTATATAATGACATGAAAGCAGTGTATGCATGGCTGCCTGTGTACATTGCTAATGTTACCTTTTTTCTTTTTTTTAGGTCAAAAATGTGTATTTCACAAGCTTTATTCCTTTCTTGAATTCTATTGGTATTGCAGCGTCAAATGGACTACCAGAGGTAATTGGAGGAATTTAAGACAGTTCAACAACAGTGCTTTACTTCATGCCAAATTGCTTAAGATTCCCTTTACACATTGATGAAGTTCTAATAGGTTCTTTTAAAATCATCTAGCAAAATGCATTGCTCTTCAGGAGCGTGCCTTAGCAGGGATTCCAGTATTCATGGAGTATATTTAGCTTTTACATTTGAATTTAATAAATTAATTTCCTGAGGCTGAACCAGTGCTTTCGCTCAAAGCAAAACATGACATAGGAGTTGCATATCCATGATCTTGGTGAGGCCATTAATCTAAAATACAGCTATTACAATATCAGGTGTCTGAAGTCAGGCTATGAATGCATACAGTCTTAAATAACACACCTTAATTTAAATGTAATTGAGACATGTTACTGTAGTCATGTTGGAGAGATATCCAAAAGATTAGGCTCAGTTTCACAGCTGGCAGAGTTTGGACTGCTGTGTCCATGCAGAATTACTTTTATCTTACTGAGTTGTAGCCTGGATGCAGCAGACTACCTCTATGCAATCACATGCAAGAGAGCGCCTTAGTAGGTAACTTCTTGCAATGTATTTACATCCATCGTTCTTAAAAGAGTAGGTTTAGCTGTGGGTCACTGATAGATGTGGTCACCTGAAAATAAGCAGCTCTGAAGCTTATCAGATTGAAGGTCTACAAGATTCAGCCAAGTATATGTTCTGTTCAGTTTCATAATCTGTTGCGTGGGGGACAAAATACAAGACCCACTAAAGATCTTAATCTCTTCCAAAATTAATTTCAGGGTATCAGCAGTCTGTTTAGACTTTTTAATTTATGGGTATATATAGTTGCGAAGCCCTGTATGAACTTCCAGGCAAAGGTCCTTATACAGCCTATTCTCAAATCAATGAGGGTTCTCATCCAAGCCTGCTCAATTGAAGCGCAGTATCAAAATTACCAGTCTAAGACTCTACTGGTGAAAACTCTATAAAATGATGCATTTGAAGAAAAATCCAGTCACATGATCCTTGCTCCTGAAACTTGAGTGCCTGAGGGGATGTTTTAAAACAAAGCAGAAAGTTACAGCTGTATTTCAGAGGTAGTCAGTTCATATATGTACTCCAACTAACCAATTGTAGCCAAGATCATCAGTGCAATAGCTAGTAATATGGGACATTTAAATTTACTTTAATTTTCATAAAAAACCACTGAGATTTTGATAAATTTTAATGTTATTTCCAAAACAAGAAAAGCTTTTGAGGCTTGATGTTGGTATTTCATTTGTCTTCACTGTGTGTTTGATGGTCAGGCTTTATGAACTGATGAATAGATTGATTCAGAATTCTTATTTTTGGCTGAAGGTTTCTTCCCAGTTAGCCCAGTACAGCCATTTTGTCTAAGAGCTGCTGTTTTTTGCAGTGAGAATCTGAATTTTCTAGAAGTTTATGAAATACTGAAATATTTCAGACAAAAAGAACACATAAGCCATTAGGAAGATAATGAAAAATGAAAAGATAATGAACTTTTTAAATTTAAAAAATAGTGATAATAGGAATTGAAAGATAATCTTTGATTTAATAGTCCTAATCTCAAAGTTTTAACCATGAGATCAGTTTGGAGCAAATGCATTTGGCAAAGGTAAAAGGAGAGGATGAGGAGCAAAGCTGTGTAGGAGGTATTTGCAGCTTGCTTTTTCTTGGGACTGGAGGGGAGACTAATTTGGGTTCATATGCACTGTTGCCTGTTTTTCTGGCAGGAATTTGCCAGAGCACAGCATCATTTAGTATGTTTAAGAGCTCAGGGAACAGATAATTGAGGTGACTGCCTACTTCTGTGGGAGCACAGCAGCAGATTTGAAGTGGAGGCTAGTATCTGGCACTGATAAAAAAATTCCAGACTTCTAGTTAATGTTAGTCACTCAAAACAAAAAAAACCTAACCAAAACCCAACAAACTTTTCCATGTGAAATGAAGTCATATCAATATGGGATCTAATCAACTAAGAAACTTTTACCAGTAATTTAAAAAACAACAATGTGGATATGAAATAATGGTCTATGTTTTTGTAGAAATAGGTATGTCTCTTAAGAACTACATCAGTACAAATATCAATATGAAATGGGGAAACTGTTCTTATACTCACAACAAGAAGGTTTGAGTTTGGGTCTTGGTCTTCATCTCCAAACCAGAAGAGACAGGGACTGAGCCGATTGTCCGACAGCTGTTCTAAGGGCAATTATTTTACATTTCCTGCTCCTGGAGACACCTCTTTTTTCTGTAAGGAAAGATTTAAAAGCCTGGAAATGTTAGTTTGATTTGCAGGTCTGTGTCTCCCACTGTAGCTATTTTTAGCTCTTTTACAGTGTCAAGACCTACATTTCTTCAAAAAGGTCTCATGATCTTGGATTGTTTTCTCTCATAAAAGATTATCTTTGTTTGCGTGTGGGAATGATAATTTTCCTTGGTATGTTTCAGCTGTTGTGTAAGAAGTGACTTTGTGAGCTCCAAGGTCATTCTCTTAGCATTTCAGCATTGTATTCATGAGGTAGGACCAGCTTATATTATTCAGTAAACTGTGAAACTTGTTCCTATAAAATAAAGTTGTTTTTTTTTTTCCATTGTTTTTTGAGGTTGATGTTCTCTCGAAACAGTATGACGAGCTCTATCTCAAAAACAAAGATATAGACGCAAGATTATTTCTGGATCATGATGAAACTCTACAGCCTGATGTCACAGCATGGTAATATTTCCATTTACTGCTTTCATTTTATAATAGAAAATGTGAACTTGCGTTGTTTTCCGCCCCTTCTCTGTATCCTGTTGACCTCTTAGGTTTGTAGTTCAGCTAAGGTACTTCTGGCATCGCCAGCCTTGCTTTACATTATTGCTTAAATAATTAGAAAACATATGACTGTGACTCTACCTAAAATGATTTGGAAGCTCTACCCTAATTCTTACTCTGTGCAAGCCCCTGTCGTCCAGGGGAAGCTGAGGAATCAGGAGGAGGAGGCGGCCAAGGCCATGTCACGCTAGTTGACTAGATATGCCTGAGGCGGTGTTACGGTGCTGGGGGGCCAGCTGGCATGGAATGGCTTGCGTCATCACTGTCCAGATCCTCCTTCCTAAAACCAGATGGTGGCATTTGGAAGCTGGTGGCCTGCTGGGAGTGGTCCTCAGCCCATTCTGACTTCTGACCTGTACCCACAAATTGTTTGGGGAATGGTGGTTTGCATGGGACAGAAATGTGCCATGGATGTTTTAGCAGAATAAACAGTTGAGTACCAGTGCCTAGGCACATTCCCTGGTGCTGTTCAGTAATACAGATGTCATGGACCTGTTGGAGCAGGTCCAGAGGAGGACCACAAAAATGATTGGAAGGATGGAACACCTGTCCTATGAAGAAAGGCTGAGAGAGTTGGGGTTGTTCAGCCTGGAGAAGAGAAGGCTTCGGGGAGACCTTATTGCAGCCTGTCAGTACTTAAAGGGGGCTTATAAGAAAGATGGTGGCAAACTTTTTAGCAGGGCCTGTTGCAACAGGACAAGGGGGAATGGCTTTAAACTAAAGGGGGGTAGATTTAGACTAGATATAAGGAAGACATTTTTTACACTGAGGGTGGTGAAACACTGGGACAGGTTGCCCAGAGAGGTGGTGGATGCCCCATCCCTGGAAACCTTCAAGGTCAGGTTGGACGGGGCTCTGAGCAACCTGATCTAGTTGAAGATGTCCCTGCTTATTGCAAGGGGTTAGGAATTGATGACCTTTAAAGGTCCCTTCCAACGCAAACTATTCTATGATTCTCTTTGATTTTTTTTTAGTCATACACTTAAAATTCAGTGGTTCCTGACAATTAAACGTTTCCATAACTTGATGTGAGCTCATGATGTGAGTCTGTGACTTTATCTATGCTAGAAAAATACATTCATTTGAAATTGGATCAAAATGGAGCTAATACCAGCTGTACATATAAATTAAGCTGTTTATAAATAGAATTCTGGGGGAAAAAAAATCCCAGAAGTTGGAAGGGAACTTTGGAGGTCATCTAGTCCAACATCCTGCTCAAAGCAGATCTACTTGGGAATTTAAATTACATTGTTCTAACAACTGGAGTGGTTGGACATCTAGATCTTGTAAAAATCTGTTCTACAGTCTTCTCTTCAGATTAATAAGTCTTTATAGAAAACAGTCTTTTTTGAATTACATTAGTTCTTCATAAGTTTGTTTTCCATTTCTGTAGCTCACAGTTGGAGAGGACACCACTAAAAAACAATCCAGATGAGGAACTTAATCTTATACTTCCACAGACTCCTGTTCGGTATGAGTTTTTCTTTTAAACAAAAGAACACAGCTTAATACCCTAAGTAGAAATATTCATCTTTAGAGTAGTTGTTTCAATTTTAAAGGAACTGTTTTGTTTTTCATAAAACAGATGTGGTTCTGGTCACTAATGAGCAGTGAGCATGTCCTGAGGGGTGCTGAGTGCCCTCAGTTCCTGGTGAAGTTGCTGGAAAACAGGGAGAGCTTTTTACTGAGTTGTCTAAGAAGTGCAAGATGTCTGTAAAATAGATTACTGTATTTGTTCTTGTGAGAATGCACTTTACACTTCCATGGTAGTACTTTTGTCTGCTATACTTTCATCTTCCTTTCCCGTCTTTACTCTAGCTCTGTATCTTCTGGCTTCCTTTCCTGATACCAAATTGTATATGCACACACATTTCTTCTCCCATGATCTTTTTCTTCTTAGTATTGTTTTCTTTCTGTATGGGAAGATTAACATTTCAGAGTGCCAACATTTTTTTTTTCCTGTATTGGGAAGATGAACATTTCAGAGTTCCAATAGAGTTCCAATATATTTTTGTCTATCGGGAAAATGGACAGATATGGTAGAAATGTGGTATTAATTGGAGATTGTTTGATCTACAATCAAATGCAGAAAAACTGCGAGCTTGAATTCAGTTAACCAAAGGAAAGGAGATTTGCATGTACCATTTTTCCCTTGTGCCACACAGTTTTTTGAAAAAAAGCAGTGTGTTTTTGCCTGATGGTGCTTGAAAATTCCTGGACACTCAAGAACTAACCAGCTGTGTCACTGCAATGCCATGTGCTATGTGGACAGACAGAGAAGTGTTCACACAGGCACTCATTCTTAAGGTGTCAGGTTTAATAAAATCGGACAGTGAAGTTCTTGTTCCATGCTTGCTGTATAAATGCCTTTCATTTTAGCATGCTGTTGAGAGAAGATAAAATATTGTACGCTTAATTATTACATCAGTTTTCTCAAATGAGTAAAATTATTTTTGTTTTTATTAAAAATACTTCTACAGTGTTTTTATGCGTGTGGAAGAATGAATTAGACTCTGGGTTTGTGCATCCACTATAAATCTACTAAATGCCCTCTGCAGAAACCAATTGTTTTCTAGCCAACAGTAAGGTTCTGAAAAGCTTCTTCATAAAAATAATGAGACATGCAACTGAGATATTGATCAGTATATGAAAGAACTTTTGATCACCTGTGACTGCAAAAGGTATTTGATTGCCTTAGTGGTCCCTTTTAGTCTTATGCTTCTCATCTTTAACTAAAACAGCAATGCTTTTTTATCCATAAAGGCATCAGCTTGCGTATCGGTTCCCAGACTGAATGTGCGGTATCAGGAACTAGACCATCTATAACATGCGGTGTATTTAACAAGAAGGCCATTGACAACAAAGCCCATTTTTGACAAATGTAGAGAGCTTGGTATTGACGCTTTTCAGTTATACTAGCATTAAAAAAAGCCCTCTAACACTGTGAAAGATGCTTCATTAAAGTTCTTGTCATGGAAGTCCCGTTAAGAAAGTCCAGGAGTACCAAGTTTCTGCATTGCTAAAAATTTGAAATGTGCTAAACCAATTTTGATCTTGAGAGGAGGTCTAGTGATATATTTAGATTCTCTCCATCCACTTGGGCTTTTCTCTGAGTTTTCCAAAACTGATGCCATTTAAGACAGTTGAAGTGAAGGCTTATTCACCAGCAGTGATTTGGGCTGTAGTAACTGTTTTTCATAAAGCCACAGAACTGTCACTAGATGGCAGTAAACCTTTGATCACCAGCATAGAGTGGAAGGTCTCTCATTAACTCTTCCTCCATTAAGTAGAACCCCTTATAGGTTATGTTGAAAGCACCATACTTATTTCTTTGAATCTTTTTATAATGCCTTCTTTCTGGCATTATAAATCTAGACACTTAGAATCTGCTCTAAAGCCCCCTGAAATTGGTGAGAATCTAATAATTTTCATCAGTGGATTTGTATCTGGCCATTTATATAGAAAGCAGTAGATAAAGTGGATGTAAGTACTAGGTCAGAGCATAATGAGAATGGGTTGTGTGTTTTTGTTTTTTATTTTTTTCCACTGTCTTTATGCTTTTCCTTATCACTAGTAGAGTTTTGGCAGAAGTGATTTTACCAAAACCTCCTAAAAAGTAGATTAAAGAAAAATGCATCTTTGCACTACTACAGTTATAATGATTGAACATATTTTTCTTCTTTCTCCGCTTATTTTCTGAGTAATATGAGCCAAATTGAGGTTAAACAGCACAGAAATTTGAAATAAACAAACAAAGAAAACCCCACCAAAAAACAAAAACCACAATGAAAAATTCAGAAAGTAACAATACCACTGGAAGAATCAAACTGTTTCTTAGATGTTAGGAGAGAAATTAACACACTAACCTTTCTAAAAGAACAGAAACTTAATGCTATTGCTTAATACACAACTTGAAACATGTTTTAAAAAAAGCCGGGTCACATTAGTACTTATGGACGCACTGGATATATTATTAGTTCTGTATGCACGTGCAAATAATAAAGGCAGAACAATACATGATATCCCCAAAAGTTGGAAATGTGGGCTGTTTAGATGCTAGCTCATGCACATACCTTCTTGTCTTGTATGACAAGATCATTATCGTTCTTATTTTCCCACCTATAGATATTTCAGTCACCTCCTGGATAATACATGCTATTTGAGAAGAGGCCATGTTCTGTTATCTTAAAATAATGATCTTTCTGAAAGTCATAAAAAATGTTTGTCATCAGGATTTCAGTTCTAGAAGAGAAACTGAAAAATGCTTTCTTCAGAGAGAGATACACTCACCCTAATAAGGCATTTAACTGTCTGTGGAATAAACAACAGGATCCTATGCACTTGTCTTCACAGTATTCTTAATTCTTTAAATTATTACAGCTTTTCTGAAATACTGCTGTTACTTGGGTTAGCTTTAGTAGTTTTCTGCATTAAGACATTGGATATGAATCAATGGATATTACTTGTGGTTTTGAATCTATTTTTAGCAAGAAAATTCTAGGCATTAAGTAGAGATACAAATAGTTTTGATGTCAGTGTTTTTTGTTTGGTTTTTTTTTTTTTTACTCTGTACCTGTAAAATAATGCCAATAAGATCGTATATGGAGGCATACTTCAATACTTCAATATATCCAAGTTAATAAAATGTTATTCATATTTTTTATCTACTTTTCATCTAGACAATAAAGAATTTTTGTTCTACTTTTTAAGAAGATATTGTTTGTATTTCTTGGGAACACTGAAAAATTTCTTTAATGTCTACATCCCTTTCCCTACCCATAATACTTTAAAAGTTAAGAAGATTTTATATTTAAGATCCTTCTAACCTAGCTACAGATATAGCAGGTGGAATAAGGATTACAGAAATTGTAGCCTTTCTATTGGAAATAGAAGGAATTGGAGTTAAAGTAAGAATTTAAGTTTTAATGTGGCTTTTGGGTTCAGATCCAGCAAGGGAGAAGACTATTCTCATGCTATTGCCAATAGGAATGTTCACAGCTCTGCCTCTGAAAAATGTGGTTTTTTCAAAGCATCTGTGTTAAAAAGGCTGTATTTTCTTGTGACTGCCATATTTTAATACATCTTACTTATTACACTTGTGAACAGGTGACTTGAAACATAAAAGTTGTCTTCATTCACCATTCTTTTGTATTATTTTTGTACAAAAGCCAAAGAGGTTTTTTGTTAGGGAGTTGCTTGATTTAACTGAGTATTTTCACATACAAGGATTGCCGTTCCACCGTTTTATTGCTTTTAAAAGTGCTCTTTAGTGTTTATTACTTAATTTATGTTCTTTTGGTTATTTACTTATGGATTGTAATCATTCTAATAATTAGATGATTAGATAAATTAGATTATTAGAATTCACAATGGTTAACACAGTGCGACAGTTTTTCCCAGCAGGTTGTTTGATAACTGGGATGAGAACTAAAATAATTTTTTTTT